TGGATTCCTTATCTATAAAATCCATGTCATCATGCCTAACTGCATCCTCACAAGTAGGTGTGAGCACTTAAAACAACAGTATTTGTAAAAGTTCTATGCATATGTGGTATACTATTATTAATATTATTTTTTATAAGAAACTGGCTGCCAGGCGACAGTGAAGGAAAAAAGAGGCAATAACATGGGTTATGGGAAGACTGTGTTTTTTAAAAAAAAGTCTAAGATACAAACCAAAGTTACAGGCAAGGAGGGAGACCAGAGACTCAGTATAAACAGAAGGCTGAGGTACGTGACTTGAGCCAGACATCTCAGGAGATAATCAAAAAACACTTGGCCAGAGAGCTGGTAGGACAGCACAAAATTCTCAAGGCCTTGAGGGCCCATTTGGGAAGGCAGCTTGTTACAGTACATCTAGAAGAACACAGGGTACCTTCTAGTATATTCAGAAAGAACTGTGTTTGTCTCCAACACCTAAGGCTGGGAGACAGCACTGTGTGTATGTGTGTGTGTGTGTAAACAGGCAAAGCTGATCTCCCTAAATAAGCTAGGACTTGTAACATGCAGACCAGTAGGTTCCAAAAAACTGACTGATTACCTTGGAAACTTGAATTATTTATTACAAAGGAGGGCTGCTAAGTTTTTGGAGGATTGTTGTAGGTTGAACTGTGTCTTCAAAAAAAAAAAAGGTAATGTTAAAGTGCTAACCCCCAGGACCTCAGAATGTGAACTTGCTTGGAAACAGGGTCACCGCAGATGTAATTAATTAAGATGAGGTCATACTGGAGCAGGGTGGGCCCCTAATCCAATATAACTGGTGTCCTTATAAGAAAATGGCCATGTTAAGACAGAGATGCTCAGGGAAAACACAGTGTAACTACAGAGGTAGATGGATACTCAAGATACCCAGCTGCAAGCCAAACAATGCCAAAGATTGCCAGCCAATCACCAAAAGCTAGGAAGAGGCAGGAACTATCCCAGAGGACTTCAAAGGAAGCATGCCCTGCCAACATCTTGATTTTCCAGACCAGAGATAATAAATTTCTGTTGTTTTAAGCCACCCAGTTTGAGCTACTTTATTATGGCAGCCCTAGGAAACTAGCAGAGTGGACATAGCTTTGACCCTAGGACAGGAAGAACCCACTTTAAATTCTTGGCTGGCCAAGAACAGCCCTAAGGGAGTCAAGGGAGCATCTGTTGGAATGTACAGTGGGCACTTTCACTGGTGGTTGCTGGAATGCTGAAGCCACTGCTGCCCCTTAAATACTCACAGGTGACATTGTCATAATGGCCCCCAGGTCTGTCCCTAAAAGAGAAGCCATGTAAGTTACAGTCACAGCCAGGGAAATTTAAGAAGCTGGGTTTTACTGAGCTGATGAATCAATAAGCTCTGGAACCACCTACCTCTGCACTCACAGGAGAAACTTCATTTTCTATTGCTAAAGTCATTTTGCTCAAGGTAATCTGTTAAATACGCAGTTTCTATCCTGAGCATTTTTCTTTCCCTCTTCAAATAATCTTCCCTGAGTCACAGTGTACTACTGACATACTCAGTTGGTAAAAAACTGTACTGACCTTTGAGACGAACCCTTTTATACCAGCCAATATTCCCCCAGTAGCACTGTTTCAAAGTACTATCATACTTAGGGTACCACCTAGAAGTTTTCTTCTCCTACATTGCTGAGTTGATACTGCTTTTATCCAGTATCTTTCAACTTTACTAGTGTACAAATGAGATGGCAAGAGGAAGTAAGTGGAGAGTGTTGCTAACATGATAGTCAATTCATGCTGCAGCTTCGAGCTGCCCTGGTTAACTGTGCATTTAGACTGCTTGTCAACATCTGACTGTGGTCTGGTCACATCCCATTAGATACCTGGTTTGTAGCAAAGCCTATTTGAATTAAATATTGCAGTTACTTAAGCTGGTGAAATAAAAATGGGAAAATAATAATTTGGCTCAATTTCTCAAAATTAAAATAGGATCATGTATTTTCAAAGTAGAAGCATGGGTTGCCTACAATGGTTTCATTCCACGACATTGGCATTGCATGCACTGTTGTCACATTTGATCTAAACACCACTTATTCACACAAGCAGAAGTGAAAGCATATTAGGATCAATACACTATGCAGACCATCATATGAAGACGATGTTCATTTAAACCTTTGCTGACTATACCCTAAAGGACTCCTCTTGACCCAAAGCCTTGCTCACCGGGGAGAATATAAATGTTCATTGAATTGAGTGGACAAATGGAAGATCTTCCCTGTGGACATTCTTATGGAGGGTTATGGAGCAAAAAGATGCTTCGTTGGAAAGAAGCATTAATTTCTCTATTTGGAAAATAAAAACGTGAGGACTGTGTAGGCCTGAGTCCCAGGAACTGCAGCCTGGGTCCCAAAGTGTATTGGATGCAAGCACACATCCTGAGAGAATCTCTGAGGCATGCAACTGGGCACTTGTCCTGAAAGGCGCTGTCAAGGTCTCCGCGCTGTAGTCTGCCTACTCCCCAATTTATCCACTACAGCAGGCAAGATGCAACACTAGCTTTTCCCTGATAAGAAGGGAACCAGTTCCAGGCAATCTGGGCAATAGAAGCTCACCATGGACCACTAAGCTGCCCCGAATAGAAACACTCCACATATTTGACTCAACCCAGCTGAAACAGAAAAGTCACAAACACCTCATAAGAAATGCACAAAGCCAAGGGCAGGCTTTTCTGATTTGTATTTTGTTTTTTTGTTGTGGATCAGAACGGGAACACCATCTTCTGAGCTATGCTGCTCTAAGTACGAGGGGCCTCAGTTATGCTTTCTTGTAATAATAACTTAATCAAAATCTACAGAGAAATTTGCTAGTACAAGTAGTTGTAAAGCCCTCCTCAAACTACCCTCCAAATTCATCTTCTCCTTCAGCTTTTTTTTAAACAATGTATCATTTATCCAACGGATACTTACTGAGCACCTACTTTGTATTAAGCACTATGCTAAGAGCTCGGTGTCCCAAATCCCTGCTAGGGTCTGTAGTCCTGTTGGGAGACCTGCTAGACCACAATTACAATACAACGGTTGTGGTTTGCTAGTGGAGGGTGTAAAGACTGTAGTGGAAATTTAGGGAAAAGAGCCTCAGGGTTGGCCAAGGATCAGGGAAGGCTTCCTGGGGGAGTTGCACTTGAGCTGAGACTTGAAGATTGAGGAATAATGCTCCAAAGTTCCCAGGGCCACTCCAGATAATGTAACAATAAACAGAAGGGTTTAAAGGAATGATACATAAGGATGGGTTTGGAGAATTATCTGTTGTTCACTATTGCTGAGGCATTAAAAACAAGTAATTTAGGGAAAAGTAACCTGAGTAGAGGCTGGAATATGAAGGGCTTTGTTCTCCATCCAAAGGAGTCTTGACTTTGCCCTATAGTGTCTCCCATGAGGTTCAGGGTTCATGAGATTCCTGTGACCATTTTTATGTTTCTGTTTCAATGATAATTTTATTAATAATAAAATGGGAGAAGCTGTGGTAAAAACACCTTCCAGATAATCTGTATGACCATTTGCCACATAATTTTGGTGCCCATACTTTTGTTTATTATTAAACTGGCACCAAGCCAACAGAGATATACCAGTTAGAGGCCAAAGGAGATGTTGTTTGAACAAAGAGATCATTCTCACTGAAAAAGTAAAGTAGGGGGAGAACTGAGTCACCATATATGGGTGCATGGTAGTAACGATAACAAAATAATTCAAAATAATCTGTGCCATCATGCTCTGAAACATATTCATATTGCAGAGGACAACTGAATTTCACAAAACAATGTGATTTGTTACATTAAATTAAAGCTGCTTATTTGAACATCGCTGGTTTTGTAGTTTTTTCATAATACATGTTTTTAAAAAAAACTTCGGGGGGTAATTAGGTAATTATTTATTTATTTTATTTTAATGGAGGTACTGGAGATTGAACCCAAGACCTCATGTATGCTAAGCATGCACTCTACCACTGTGCTATACCCTCCCACTTCATAATACATGTTTTTCCGTTTGGGTTTTATAGTTCTATAAATATAAATGACAAGGAATGTCTACCTAGTTTCATGTTTTTTAAACCAATTTAAGAAACATTTAAGATTTAAGTAAACACAAATCTGCAGGAGTTCTCTTTTTCTCTAAATAGGTCTATGCGTTACCCAAGTAGGAAAGACAGGGCCAAAGATGACGTAAGAAATCTGAGCATATTGGTGTGAGCCGGTTACTGTTAGGAGACCACCATGGTAGTCACACAGAGGAAGGACAGCATGGAGACCAACGGAGATGAAAAGACCACTAAGGGGATGACTGCCTGAGTCCTCTTATTTAAAGAACCCATTTGCTGGAAACCAGAGGGCTGCTCTCGGGCACATGCCAGAGTGCTGTGGAATTAAATGCTGACCTGACAAACCAAGCTGTACCTGTGTTTCAGGGTATGCAGATCTAGCTCAAAGACACCCCAAACTTCTACCTGTATCGTCTATCAGAGGGTTCTGTGATGATGCCAGAACTAAATTAGGACCAAATCCCAGGTTTTACTAGAGAGCTTCAAAGTACACAAGAGAAGTTTCTATGTATCTAGTAACAAAAAAACAAACAGGCCCATGGCATATACTTCTGAAGGCCAGCTGGAGCTGAAATCTGTCTTCACCAAGCCGTGTGTCCCTGGAGCTGCATCTACCCAGGGAAGGTGATTTTTTCTAATTTACACAAAGGCTGGATGAACTTGACAAGCCATGACCCTTGGAGAGGGCCGCATCTTCTGGAGAGGGTATTGTATGAAGGTATCTTATGGGCCAGCTATGACTTAATCCTGCTTTTCTGAGATTAAGTGCCATCAATATCACTCACCAGAACTCTCACAGTTCAATGAGAACAAAGGATTTTCTTCTTCCTGAAAGTTTTGTGACACATAATTCCCCATAAAAAGGCAAAGCACCAACGCTCTCAACAAACACAAAGAAACAGATGCCCTCTGCTTACCTCAGGGGCCATCCAGAACGGGGTGCCAACAGACGTATTTCTCCGTAGACGTGTACTGGTAAGTTGAGCTGAGACACCTATGAGAAAAGGGTGTCACAACTGGGCAGTGAGCAGAGGATGATGCTAGACCAGGGATGGTCAAACTTTCTCCATAAAGGGTCAGACAGTAAACATCTTAGGCTTTGTGAGCCTGAGGCTCTGTCACAACTACTACTCAACTCTGCCACTGTCGTGCAAAAGCAACTTAGACAACACAGAAACAAACAAGTGTGGCTGTGTTTCCATAAATGTTATTCATGGATGCAATATAATTTTCAAGTGTCATAAAATACTCTTCTTTTGATTTTTTCCCCAACTATTTGAAAATGTAAAAATCATTCTTCACTCACAGGCTACACAAAAACAGGAGGCTGGCTGGATTCGGCTGACAGGCTATAGCTTGCCAACTGCAGTGCAGAAGGATGCATCAATCTATCTAAATCACTAGAATATTTTTTTTCCTAATGAACATTCCTATCTATACTGCTGCAGAACTGGAATCAAAAGAAAACAACAAGAACTAGGATCAACCCCAAATATCTTCCCATTATATTTCCAAAAAAAGCCACGAGACATTTTTCTTAAAATGGTGCTTATTTTAGGGAGGAAGAAAATGTATGTGCATTATCTATAATAGAGCATCAGTGTAGACTTAAAAAGTTTTCAGTGCCTTATCTTACCTAGAAGCCTAGAAACCTGTCAAGAAAAACATACTTGTCAAACGGAAAAAGAAATTGACTAATGATATCACTATATAGGGCTCAGTGCTGGGGACCTGAATTTTAATATAATTTCAATGTACTCTGCCTTAGTCTTCAGCCAGCCCGCTTCTTTTACCACAAGGGATGTAACGGTACACAGGATGACTGGGCATCAAAAGACCTGTTTTCCACCCCAATTATGCCTTTTTCTAATTGCATGACCTTAAGCAGACAACTGCACTCTGAGCCTCAGTTTTCTCATCTTCAAATTGGGGATAATGTTACTCATTAGACCTAACACAAAGTGTTCTTCTTAAATACCAAGTAAGAGAACAAATGTGAAAAGAATGTATAAACTTAAATTTTTTTAACAATTACAAGGTATTCTTTTATACCAAGCAGAAGTCTAACTCAGCACCTAAGAGAATGACAAGGTGCTGTTGACGATGAGAACTTAGAAACCTGGATATGTGTACTCATCAGCAAAGAACACACCTTTGAAAACATCAGGCATAGATTTGCCAAGGACCTATGGATTGTTTTGGTGGAGGAATAGTTGTTGTACTAACCATTTGCAATCTTATTCTTTATTAGGAAGCCAAAGAGGGCTCTTTAAACTCTATTGGCCATGGATAATTTCCTATTTTACCAAGTTCTCCACTACAATTTTGATTTCTAAAAATTATACTTTTCTGTTATTAATTTCTAGACATTTCTTTCACAGCAACGGGAAGATCAGGAACCTTCTGCTGGAAGACTAGGAGCCTTCACCCTCATGCCAAATCACAAAGCTAGTGAGTGGATAAATCAGCTTTAATCTCCATCCTTATCCTTCTAGGCTCTTTCCCACATAACATATTCATTGCTCCCAGATTCTGTGCAAAATCTGTCTCTGATGGTATGCATACAGCACATTCGTAGAGTTATACCATTTCTTAGAAAGAGGAGCTTAAGACTTGAGCAAAGTGCCCCTCTGCTATTTTTTCCAGTTTTTTAGTAAATAGACCAGTACACTTAACGTAATTTCATTTACTTTGGGGTAATTTCTTCTGAGCAAATTATTCACTGTTACATTTTAACACTGAATTTCTTCTTACCAGTAAAACAATGAACATTCAAAATCATCAATCTTTTCTCCTACTATGCTGCTATTGATAAAGAACATTTTTAAAGTGCTTCTGTAAATGGTTCCTCATTATTTATAACAATCATGCTGAAGTACTAACTGTTGTTGAACTAATTTAGAAGATTAAACCAATCACTAGACTTAAAAAGGAAAGCCAAATGGTTTGTTGGTTTGCGACTATCAATCCACGAGTGTTGCAAGGAGATATTTAATAGTTCTCTGGCCTTCGGTGACACTGCTCTGACACTGCTCTCTCACACTTCCCTTTCCTGTTCATGTTTCCAGTTCAAGCAGCCTCACAGGTAGCAGCAAGAATCAAAATTTAAATGGATGTTAGCTTCCAGACCCAAAGGACTATTTTACCTTCTGCTCACTGGGGATAAGTATGCCTAAGGCTAGAGAAAGTCATTTGAAAGACCAAACTGCTTTCTCTTTTCATATGCAAAAGAAGAAATGGCAAAATGTAAATTATAGATGATTGCCCTGAGATGTGAAATCCTTCCCAGAAAACCCAAGTTTTTCCGCCAAATTCTTTTGAAGCACTTTTATATTCTATCTTTAATAAAATTGCTTCTAAAGTTGAAAATAGAGTAACAAACAGCATCTCCTAGGGTAATCCATCTGGTGCACCCCCCACCCTCCAGCCTGTGTGGGACTCCAAAGTCCCCCCACCCCCACCCCACCCCCGCCTTTGGTGTAGAAGAGAGGCCTCAGTCTTCTGAGACTGCAATAAATTGTTGCCTTTGGCTAAACCGCACACATCAAGAAAACAAACGACACAGTCATTACCAAAGTCAACGAGCTTAACTCCTCCTTCTGTTGTCAGAAGAATGTTATTCCCCTTGACATCACGGTGGATGATTCGGTTATTGTGCAAATGCTGAAGGCCCTGCATGGTGTCCCACCATCACCAAACACCAGGAAAGAGAAAGGGAAAATTTGCACGGTTACTTTTAAACAATTACCATGCTATTGACATTCTAATCAAAGTCCACATTTGGCTACACCTCCCCGCTACTGTACACCTTGCAGACCATAAGGCAGTTTCCCCTTGTTAATATGGTATGGGGTGCCAAACAATGACAAACTGCCCCCTCTGCCTCCAGCTTGATGGGCGTGCTTACCAAGAGGGCCCCGTATAAGATGTATGAGATCACTGCTTCATCCAGCCGCTGGCCGCACCTGAGTAGACCTTTGACCAGCTCGGTGACGGAGCCCCCATTACACAGCTGCAAGAGGAGGTGCCGGGGAGAGAGACAGCAGAACATAGACAAAAAGAAAAGAAAAAGACGTGAAGAACAAAAGGCTACTGATTATTGACCCAATGGAGTAAATTTGCAAATCACAAAACTTCAGGTTGGAACAATTAAATTTCAAATTTCCATTACACAGTCAAATCTAGTTCTTTGTGAGTCTGTGTGTATGTGAGTGTATTTATTCAAGGTGATGATTTATGAGTGAAAGTGCACATCCAAGAAGTCGATTTTTTAAATTGTCAAGTGAAATATAAAAGCACAAGTCATTATTTAGAAATTGAAAAGAGAAAGTATATAAGTAATCATGGTGACTGATATTTTTCATTTTACATGAATACTATCTTTAAAAAAACATGCATTTTGAAAAAAAAAAAAAAGACCAAAAGAGGCGAGATGGACGCCTTTGACATGTGGGAAGAAGTAAGTTTTATCTCAAACCGCCCCGGCTCCCGTGCTGGCACTGCAGCATCAGAAGTCCAGCCAGCAGCTCCCTGCAGAGTTGACACCGCATGTCAGATGTATGGAGTGAAGCTGCCTCACATGTGCGTTCGACATTTTCATATTCAACTTTAGGAGTTCAGCAACTTTACGCACTTATTTTCCATTGTAATTAAAAACACTGTAAAAGCATATCTTTCACATTTGCTCTTTGCTGTGTGTTGTGTATTACTGAGATGTGAGAGTACATAAACCAGGTATACTATTCTTTCACAGCACCTTAAGGGTTTTCCAGGATAATTTTTACTAACTGCAGAAGGCAGTGTGCAGGTTTGGGTTTGCAACATGCCGTCTTAAATCAAGGGTTCTTAACTGCTGTGAGTAGGACATGGAAATACCTTGAAATTGCAGGAGGCACATTGTACATGCATCTTGCATTTTCTGCGGAGAAAATTCAGAGATTCTGTCAGATTCTCAGAGCCATTCTGGTCCTTCTAAAGGTTAAGACCCTGCTTTAGAGACCTCGGTTCCTCCTGCCACTTTGTCTGCAATTTGGGAATTAACTAGTGAACAGTAGGGGAGTCCCCAGGGTTGTGGCTGCCTGAGTCAACTGACTTTTCTTAAGTAAGGATATCTGAGGAAGTACAGATTAGCACCTTTCCTAAAAGAAGACAACTCTTTATTAGGATAATAATACATTAGGATCTATTCAACTCTAGTTGTGAACATCTGCAATGTTTTAACAAACGGTGCACAGATGTTTTTGTTTGATATGTGTACCATTCCCAGCTACATATGAGGCAGAGACCTTGCACACACATTAACAATCAAGATAACCTGGAGCTGAATCTGCTCTTGTTTTTACAATTTAAGTTGCTCATAAATAACAGTATTTGACTTAAAATCTAATACAGAATTAGAAATCTTCAAAACTAGGAGAAAATTACTATCTCTGAAGATGGAGTGAAATACATGGAGAGCTATAATGGTCCCATGAGTCTTGGCTTATATAAAGTGTCCTTGGAATCCACTCTCTATCAACGACAGGTATAACTTGTAACTCAACACTGATCACTCACGTCCCTAATGTTGAGTACCAGGGTAATGTCTTCCAGAGGATTCTACAGTCTTCTGATTTCAACTATGTCTTACGTGACCGTGAAAGGGCAAATAACATTCAGTGTTCAATCTAATACTCTCTTGAGCAATGAATGCATTTTCAGTGTCATCATTCATAGAACAGTCTTAAAAGCTAAGCTTCTGACAAACATAAAATAATTTTCTCAGGACTCCCCAAATTTGATTCCATATTTCAAGGAACAAAACTTGGAGAACTGACCCCAGAGTCAAATAATGATCACGAAAGAATGTAGGACATGAACTAAGGGAAGTTCTTGATCCAAAAACAGAAAAGCCTTTCTGGGGCTGACGGCACAGAGCTTGGAGAGCTTGAGAGAATAAGGTTAGAGTGAGGATGCCTCCTCCTGGGGAGAAGGTCTGTATAAAGGAATAATGATAATGAAATTTCATTTCTTATGAAGCTCTCTTTATTTGGGAATCTAAGGGGAGACCCCTTCACAGGAGCCTCGTGCCAACAAAGAGGTATCCATGTTGAGTGGGAATGACAGCAGAGGATGATGAGACTCAGCAAGCCTGGGACTGTAACAGTTCCCTACAGCCTGTCCATGACTTGCAGGAGATTCAGAACTTTATGCCCCATTTGGGGACAGGGAAAAGGCTGGATTAAATGAGAAGGAAAGACAGTGAGGACTTCATGATAAGAAGGAACACCAGGGACCAGGGACATGGGGAGACCCCAAAGGCAGACAGTAGAAGGACTCAGGGGTCACTACACAGTTGGAGGCCCCTGCCCTCACTGCCATGGCTTTACATGAGCACTTGCTATATCCAGACCCAGATGTCACCCCAGAGAAGCAAAGAGGAAGAGAAAAAGAGAAAACCATTAGAGAACGAAGTTCTTACCTGAATGACTAAGCTTTGAGCTGGATTGTGAAAATGGGATATAAGTTCTAGAACTTGACCCTTCCCAAAGAAACCACTCAGTGGACTAAGTTTAACAGAAAGAGTTAAAATCAGCTATCTCCTCTAGGCAGGCTGGGGGCTCAAGGACAAAGTTGAGTTCAGTTATCAAAAAGCAGTTTACCTCTTTGCTCTCAACAGTGTGTGACTGTCCAGTTTTTATGACCCATTATTGCATCATGAATGCATCACAGTCCCTGCTGAGGTAGGGTGAAGAGGGAAGAGTCTGGGAAATCTCCCCAGAGAATGGAACATATACAGTGAGTCCAAAGGACAAAGGAGCTTATGGCCAGTGAACGAGAAGAAGGGCAGCCCTGGAAAAGGAACACTGTGTGCAAACGAAGGGAGCACAAAAGACCGAGGGAGGTGTGCGTGTCTGTCTGCATGTGTATATATGTGTCTGTGAACTCTAAATGCTCTGCTACTGTTAGGACAAAGGGCCAGATTCCCAGAGCAGGGGGATGGGGAAGAAAGGTGGGGGACAGGAGATGACAGGTGTGCACTGCTAAGGAGTACGGGCTTTATTACTATACACACACTCATAACACCGTAATACACCATTAGATAGGAATGGTAAGCTATCGACAGGTTTTAGGTAGAGGTCTCTGTTCAGATTTCTAGACAGATGACTTTGGTAGCAGATTGGAGGGTGGGCAGAATAGGAAGACCCTGGGAGCTGGACACCTAGTGGGAGATACTGAAGCAATCAAGAGAAGCAGGGTCAGAAAGTCAATAGTCTTGAGGACGCAGAATCAGGGGCAGAAAAGGGAGGCTTTTATGAAATAGAATTGACAGGAATTTCTGACCAACTGGATGTCGAAAGTTAAGAAGAGACAGAATCTAGGGATCTTGTGAGAATAAGAATATCGATAAAGTTCTTTGATTCTCTAAAGCCAAAGCAGTAACAGACCTGCAAAGCACTTTAACACCTTCATCAGAGCCACTTCTCAGCCTGGCTTCCATCTAAGGGAGACACACGCTTTACTGAATTGCAAGCGTGCTATTAACCTTCTACCCAGAGAAAACTTCAAATTAAATGCTGGGTGATGAGTCAAGCTAACTCAACCCTGGAATTTTCCCCTGAAACCTCATTTTAAATTTGCCCTACTTTAAATCTGGCCACTTCTGCAATAGGAGCCTATTCAGTGGTATTTTATATAGGCAGCTAATTTATAAACTTCCTTCACAGCTCTGGAACCTATGGAAGGATTAAGAGCAGCAATTTTGTCAGCAGGATCAAAACTGAGCTGTGGACTTAAGAACAACAAAAGGATCAGAACCAATCGGTGCTTTTGTTCACTAAATGTCAGAGTTTGAGAGCTGTCTGACTTCTTGCGGTTCACAGAAACGTAATTAAACTGCCCAGGGCACCTTTAGAGAAAATGGTCCTGTGAAGCTGATAAATCTACCAGCAAGGTTTTAAAAGGGCAGCCCGTGGGAACAGGGAAAGGACTTTGGGTACTTGGATATAAAAAAGGAAAGCAGGTACATACTGACAATTGTCTAGTCAGAGTAAATATTCAGTGAAAGGGACTGAATATTTTAAAAGCATGACAAAGAATTATATTTAAATGCCTCAAATAAAATAATCCCCTTAGAGTTTTAAGTAGGCAGCCAAGCCTCCTACCCTACCCCTGAGGGTTGGCACCTGCAGGCTTTTCTTCCCTCCCACTCTGCCAGCCATAAGATTCAAATACAAAGGTGTATCTCCATCCCTGCCTTTCTCCCTATGCCCTCAGCATTCAGGAAATGTGGCAGCTGGATGCATCTAGAACTTAATGAACATCTTGCTCCAAACCAAGAAAAATAGAAAAATCATTTACATTCCACATCTATTTTCCAAAACATCACTGAATATTGATTCAATCACAGTGTGTGCATTTGCTAAGATGGTCATAATTTCAAGCAATAAAATGTTCCTTGCTCAATAAGCCATCAACTTTCCTCCATATTATTAAAGAATGGCCTATGCAACACAATCATCAGAGCTTTATTCTAGTCAAAGCTCCAACTTTCAACTATATACTGTACTGGCATGTTGATTTGCCCTAGTCAGAGGGCAGAATTAAGAATTTTTCAGTCCCTTTTGTTCAGTGCACTTTATCTCTCAAGGATGTTAGGTTCTACAGAGGGCATAAAGCAAAAAGTCAAGGATCGTCAAAATTACTCTAGAAGATGCCTTAGAGAGGACCACATTGGACACTGTCCACCTCTCAGGCCAAAACATGATTTTTCCTCCACACTATTGAGACAGATTGTGTTTATTTTACTGATAGCAGGTAAAATTTTCTGGCAGGGTGGGAAGACGCTCACACTAGGAGAGGGAGGAGGGCCCAAGACTTCTACCTCCCATTTCGGGTTCTCTCCAGGGCGCATGCGTAGAATGGTGGGTGGGCAGAATCACTCCCATGCCTTGGCTTCTCACTCTTGCTTTTGCTGAACACATACAGCACACGGATATAGCAGGCAATTCAGTTGCATTTCAAAGTTCCTCCCTTCTCCACTCCCAAGTGTTCTGCACATTCCTCTGGGCCCCCAGCATGTCAGTGACTCTCATTTTAGAACCCTGCCAGAACCTGCTATCTGAGTCAGCAGCATTCAGTGCTCCAGCATCTTCTAACCATCTCTGACCAATGAGAACTGCCCAGGGCTACGCTCCAGACCATCAGAGTGCCGCTGTGACCCTGCTTTGTTAATGTGATTCACTTGATTCACGCCACATTATCGATGGGTGAAAATGGTTTAAAGTGTTAACTTGCAATGATATTGGGGCCTAGACTGGACTTTTTAGAGCCTTAAGTAAAATGCAAAAACTGAACAGAAGTATCTTTTTCCCCCTCTGGCTTCTAGATACTGAACTTATACACAGATCCCTGGGGGGAAAAACAGATTTAAAAAATGATTCTTTTATCTGGTTTTAAAATATAAGGACTGTTCTTTTGTTTTTTTGTTTTTACTTTACATTCTTATTTATTAACACTCTAAACCCTAAACCAATTCTTTTCATTTGAACATGTGATGATTCATGTTGAAATGAACAGTATTCACATACTGAAGGTTTTATATTAAAAGGAAAAAGAAAAAACATATTTCATGTCTTAGCACATACTAGGTATTTTTTCTGAGTACTGTGCTTTTCTTAAAGGTCTTATATCTTATTATATTTCATTTAGGTAAGAGACAATAGGACTTACAGATTTTTCAGATTTAATATTAACTTAGAATAAAATTTATTCACAAATTTTCCAAAACATTATTATGTATGAGTGTTGTCTCTCCACATCTTTCTCATATAGTAGGTATCTGTCATGAAAGAAAGCTTTGCCTTGCTTTCTGCTAAGAATTAGTAATTAATTTCAGAAATGACATATTTATTTGCTTTTGTTTTCAGAGTTGTAGTGATTTAAGAGGGTTATTGATAACATTTTCTATCCTCTAGAATTGCTCTGTGGAATAGCTTCTCACTGTCCTTTCATCGTATTTGGGAAGGAAAGAGCAAAGGCAACATAAATTTAATCTCAATACACAGGATGAGGGGGACAGTATTAAATGGATCATAATTTTATTGTGCAAGTCTCCTAAGGCACTCTTTAAAAAGGTTGCAGATGGAGCAACATGGTCAAGGTGCTATGACCAAGGACTGTCATCATCTGCTCTGCGTGTGCTGGAGGTGTGTGTGTATGTGTGATCAGAAACTGTTAGAGCAGGCAGATAGCTAGATATGAGCAGAGAAAGGGAGACACAGGCCAAATGGCAGGAATTGGGCATACAGGAGGCGCAAGAGCCAAATGCAGGAAACCATACATCATGTAAACAAGAAGAGTCCCTGAGTAGAGAAAGAAAAGCAGGAACCTCTCGGCTCATAAGCAGCCATTTTGAGGTGGCAAGTGGCCTGGAAAGTGGCCAAAAAAGAAAGGGGGCAAAAGGCAGGAATCTCCAATGTCCAAATGTAATATTTTGCTTATTATGCCCTCATTTTAATAAAATTAGCCTTGCAGATTAGAAGTATCCATCATGCAACGACGCCATGACACTTCCGATCCAGGCTAAATACGGACAAAAATCCCTCCTCCCTTTGGAAAGGTGGAATTGGGATGAAAATCAGGGAATATGACCCCAAACCCTTCCCTCCCCAATGAATATTCTGCCCATTCATTTTTTACACTTTAAGTAAACAATTTGCCAAAGAAACTCAGGGCAGTCCCTCATGAGAGTCTGCCTGCTTTCCCCTTGAAAGTGTTCTATCTATCCCTTAATAAATCCTCACTTTACTTTTTTAACTTCCACGTCTTGTCTCTAAATTCTTTCTGGGGCAGGAAAAGAACCTAGTCACTGGCAACAGAACTACTGCCATCCCAACAAGAGGTCCAATGTTCCCCAGACTCCAAAGGCAGTGCCACTGACAGCAACAGCACATGATGGGAGAAAAATGCTGAACTGTGGTTTTCCTCCAATTCTGCCATGGAACTCATTATGTGACCATAGGCATGTCACTCCTTCTCTGGGTCTCCTTTCATCAACTGGACACTAGGAGAGTGACCTGAAGGAAGGCCAAGTTCTGGTCAGCTCTAGGAGCTCAGGAATCCCTGTATCTATAAGCATATTGGAGGCACTGGATAAAACCTAATCCCCAGCAGCCTGGCAAGGACAGACCACTCTGGGACAGAAGAGACTGAGAACACTTGGTTCTCCATGCCACCAACTCTGGCATGGGCCAACACAACCTGCAAAAGGCAGAATAACAGCATATTGTATTGCTGAGGTATGAATAATTCAGTGTGCCAGAGCAACCTCATTATCTGCACGTCGTCACCCTGAAAAGCAAGGATAGTCTGCAGGGGAGCATCTGTACAAGGCTCAGCTCATAGTTCTGGCTTCCTTCTCATCTTTCAAGGCCAGGTGTGGCCCTTTCTGGGCTTATATCTGGTCACTCCTCCTCAGGAAGAGCATTTATTCTCAAGGTGATCACAGATCTGAGCAGCCCATTGGCCCACCTGGTGACATGGAGGAAGGGAAGACCCCTTTTTTGACCTTGGAAAATTCCTGGAAGTTCCAGTTTTCTATGTCTGAATGCAGAGTCTTTTTGAGTCAGGGGGTAAAATGAAAAGAAACTAAGACTTCTTGGTCACTGTACTTAACATTATCAAATCATAATGAGGTTTAAAACACAGAGATCTTACAGAGCTTAAGAAGAATATAATCAGAGACCCTGGAAATGACACTTTCCATGTCTCATAAAAATCAGCATTCAAAAAACTAATGTTATTCTAGAGCTTCATTGGCAGGGTAAAATCTGTAATATTCTCAGGGAGGGGTAGGAAATATTAAAATCCAAAAGATGACACTTTGAGAATGCGTTACATGACTTAAAAGCCAACTAAACAGACAAAGATGGTTTCTGAAAACCAAAACCCCTTAAATCTTTATATTCTGAGGAAGGCAATTGATGTGACAGAAAAGTTCAAGACAGTTTCCCTGCAGATTATCCCCCTGGAACAGAATAAATGAATTCCCCATACATTGTTGCTACGGCAGCCAGTATACATTGTCTCATGCTCAGGCACTCCCAGAGCCAGGTGGAAGGTTTTGACAAGAGACCCCAGATGGTGGGTGAATCAAGGGCTGGCCTCTCCTTTGCTGCTTCTCTCTTAAAGCTTTCACATATGTCCCTGGGCTCCTGGATCACATGTGTGACCTCAGGCATGGAGGCATATGCTGGCTCAGAGGGGTGGAGTCCAGAGCAGAACAGGGTGGGCCTAGTGAGCATGAGGCAATATAACAGAGCTGTCCAAAAATACTGATTTCATATGTTGTCATTGTGTCTTTGCCATTTTAGGCCCGTGGAGGAAATGGACTTGTGGGGAACAGACTCTTCTGCATCATACCCATTAACAAGGGAGAAGAAAAGCAAGACTACAGTGGATACAGTGGTGCTCCCTTCAGAGCACATGCTGCCAGGAATATCAGCTGCTCCCTGTTCCCAGGTCCCAGTGGCACCTCTCACCAGGAATTGTGCCCAGCTACAGGGAACTCCCTCCCCCAAGGCCACACCCCCTCCCAGGGTGGCATGCAGCCAGTGACCGTCCGATGCAGAGATAAAATCCAGGAGAACCCTGCAAGAGCATCCCAGGCCTTTGTTTCCCTGAGGACAGGCTGAGACCTCTGTGGCCACCACACTGCTGTTCAGTGTCTCCCTTCCCTAATCCCACCTTCCTCACATCCTTCCAGGTCTAGCTCCTGCAGGAGCACTCCAATACCCTGCCATACACAATTCTTAGAGTCTGTTTTCAGGGAATCCAACCTAAGATGATGATTAGTGAACATGAATGGGCTGATTCAAACTTGGCAAACGAGTAAACCTTGGGTTAACAGTTTTAGAAAACGAGTTCCAATCAATTGGAACATGTTTTCTATGAAATGTTTCCAGCTTAGGGTAGAAAATAACATTTCCAACTGTATTCCTCTGTTAGAAGAAAAGATTATTAAACTTTTGAAGCAGAGAAATGTGAACATTCTCAGCGCACAGACTACCTGTAAGAACTGCGGAGAAGGACACCACATCTGGTGAGGTACCTGTGACATGCAGGGGGGACCACCTCCCCAAATGTGTGTCTTCTACAATTTAGGCAACAATGGCTCTGGCTTGCCCTTGGCACTCTGTCTGAATCGCTGTTTACTCAATGGGAGCCTCTTACCTCCAGGACCAGCCACAGCTGTCCTCCCACACAGTGATCCGTTTTGTAAAACATCCCATAAAACTTTACAACGTTGGGATGATTTGGAAGAAACTGCAAAATGTTGTATTCTGCCTCAATCTCTTCATCCATATCCTACACAAGGTACAAAATGCATGTTGGATTAGGTATAATGTGTGGGGAAGGGTACAGGTATGATATCATGATCAAGCAACCAGTTAATAAAGCATATTTAGTCTGCATTTTAATGGCATCATTACCATATTTTGAAAAAACCTAACACTGGATATTTAGAGCCCAACTAAAGCTTTCTAACTATTATATCAATAAAATATCTTCATTATATATTTTAATAATATTATAAAGATTTTTTTTAATTTAAAAATGTCTGAATATGCAAAGCAATTATGGAGAAATAGCTCAAAGGGACCCAACCAGGATAGGGCACATAACCACACTGTGCAAAACAGTGCACAGCATTATAACCTCGGTGTTCAGTATTCTGAAATAGGATGCCAAGGTAAGATGACTGAATACCACAAGTCTGGGTGACTTTGTAACTTACTGAGAGACCAGCCTCTGTATAAGCCAAATATATCACTCTTTCCAAGAGAATAACTTTTGAAGAGCCCAGGGGACCAAAACCAAAACAACAGTAAAATGGACAAAAAAGGGAAAATCAAGGACAGTTTTAACTCCAAATGGAGTCCGTTCATTCAGATGATCTGACTCATAACTCATTTTGAGATTTTAAGTCAGGTTTTATTATCCCTAGAAAATTATCCATAGAACCAGGAAAGAAGTTGAAAGCTCAGTGTGCATGAAACACTATACTGTGGTTATAATTTATAACCATTACTTACACTGATTGGATCTAGAATTTTTACTGCGGCCAGGCTCCCATCTCTCTTGTTAGTTACTTTGTAGACCTTGCCATAGGTGCCTTTACCTATGGTCTCTATAATTTCCCAGGTATTTGTAGGATCTGGAAGTGACTCAAGTCCAAGCATTGTGGGGTTGTAATGAAACAATCCATACAGATGTTTCCTGGTGGGAAGAAGAGTTTGTTATGTGCAGCAGATCACAGGATTATTAGCACCAGTGGGCTTTTGGAAAAAGAATATTTTTTTTCAATCTACCATATATCACAGAGAACTATATTAAATATCTTGTAATAGCCTATAACAGAAAAGAATCTGAAAAAGAATATGTGTATGTATATGTATAACTGAATCTCTTTACTGTACATCTGAAACTAACACAACATTGTAAATCAACTATATGTCAATTTTTTTAATGGAAAAAATATATTTATTTCTTAACCAACAACCCTGTGATACTTTTGTTTTCTTTTCCTGTTCTGTTTTAACTAGATTTTTTTAAAAGGGATTTGAAGCCTCCTTAAGACATGAGGGTAGAAGACAGAGAGGTGGCGGACATAATTCTGAAACATCTTTGAAAACACAATTCTAAAAGGAGGGAGTAAAACGGCCAAAGAGGAGGTCCAGTCATGACCAGACAATCATCACTCTAGGTTGCTGAGTGGTGGCTGCTTTTGCTGCCAGCAAAAATGGCTGAAAGCCATAGGTCTAAGATCTTTGTGCCCAGGTTACAGTACCTAGACCAGGCCTCCCTGATGGTCACTGGAAACCAGTATCCAACCTCTATGTGCAAAGTCTGGGCTGTTAGGAAGAAGGATCTGGTGCCCGTACCAGGCATCAGTCCACTGCCATCCAGGTCTTGGGTCCTGCAAGGATTAGTCAAGCCCAGGCCCCATCCACACAGCAACAGCACAGTGTGGGAATCGCACTGAGTGGTTAACCAGAAGCTGCAAACTCACTCTGCCTTAGCAGTACTTGATTTAATAAGGACACAGCTCCATGGAGTTTAAGACCTTTTAAGTACCAGCAGCAAGCTTGACAGGCAAACAAAGTCACCTGAGACTGATCCCACAAAAAAGCCCCGTTGCTCCCAGGCTAGAAGGGTCCCAACCCCAGTCTGCTTCTAACCCCAGGGAAGGGGCCATCAGGCTCCAACAGCACGAGCCACAGCATTCACCCCTGACACCATGGCTGAGTGTCCGCCCAGGGTGAGCATTTCTGCCTCACACTGGGCAATCCAATTTGTACTTCAAATTCTAATTATCTTCTAGACTGCAGTCTCTCAAGACACACACAGCCTTCTGACTTGGAACAAAAATCTACTTTTTATCCTTACTCTTTCTGATGGGAACATTTCAAAGATACTGAAAACCATTACCAAAACAAAACAAAACAAAACAAAATCCCAATAGCTGTGGAGTTGATACTGGAAGGGAATCTGTCCTTCCAGGGTTCACCTGGCAGGTATACCATGCTCTTAAGGGTCCTCCAACCAGCACCTCGAGAGACCAGTCCAGGCTCACCCTGGGCTGAGACACTGACCATAAACAGTCAACTGGACACACACCTCCTGCCTTTCAACCACTATTTCAAGATTGGAACAAACAAACCTTTCCTTCTGGCCAGCATTTCACAAAATCAATCTTTCTCACCAGGTGTTTCACAATTTTTGACATGTGTACATTACCTGCAATATTAGTTACTAACTACATGTATATTACTTGCTTTTGCATACAAACAAATGTCCTTTAAAGGCACTTTATATCCCTACAATAAATCATTTGCCATATATCAAAATTATTGCAAAAAGATGATTATGCTAAAAACAATAGTTGTCCAAGTCCAGCCAGATGCTGCTGCCCTCTGTTCTGTTGGAGAAAGGAAGATCATGGAGTGACAGGGTGGAATTAAAGACTAGCAAATCTAAATCTCTAGACTAGAATCTAAAAAAAAAAAAGATAAAAATTCTATTTACAAACCAGACTCACAGACATAGAAAACAAACTATGGTTACCAAAGGGGAAAGGGTGGGGAGGGATAAATTAGGGGTTGGGGAATTAACAGACATACATTACTATATACAAAATAGATAAACAACAAGGTCCTACTGTACATAACATAGGGAACTGTATTCAATTTCTTGTAATAACATATAATGGAAAAAATCTGAAAAGAAAATACATATATATATATGTATATGTATAACTGAACCTCTTTGCTGTGTACCTGAAACTAAGATTGTTAATCAACTACACTTCAATAGAAAATTTTTTTTTAAAAAGACTAGCACAAACTTTTCCCTAACATCATCAGAAGAACGTAAAAGAGAATCAGCAAGGGAATAATTTTGGCACCATACGTTTCAGTGTCCTTTATTGCAAGGTCACCAAAACCCCTCAACACTTTGAGAACTCCTCTAGGCTCAGCTTCTACAAGAGCAGAAAGCAGACTGGCTAGGGGTGTTGGTCAAGGCCAGACAAGAAGGGATACAGAGGGGAGTGAGATGTGCTTCCTAGAGGGAAGAACCGGGCTCATCAGCCTACATAGACGGTCCCTGTGGCCCCATCAGAAGGGACACTTGCATCTGGGCTCAGTGCCTTGACACAGAGGCGCTCAAGTCAAATTGCCTGCAAAACCCAGGCCCCGCCCAGACCAGCTCTGAGAGTAGTCTCATCTCTTTGCGCCCCATCATGGTGCTGCTGCATCCTACTTCACAGAGTCACTATGTGAGGATGAGGGGATGATGATAGAATAAAGTGGGCACAGTGAACACTCAGCAAGTGTCATCTGCCATCACAAGGGCACAGCACCAAGTTGGGCTTCAGAACAGGCAAGGCTTGACAGAGCTTCCTGCTGTTTTATTTCACCCTGAGCCACACACCAAATGAGAACCAAATTCGTTTTTCTCCAATCAGTTATGTGCTTCAGACCAGTGGCTGGAATTGGTGTGTGCGTGCAAGTGAAATTAAATCAGGGAATGTGGCAGCGGGAAAAGACTGCAGAGGCCATCGAATCAAGTGGTTTGCTAATTATTTTTGGCCACAACATCCTTCTGTTAAATGAAATCTCACTTAGAATGCTGATGGACAAGCTGAGAGAAGCAGTGCAGCTCCGGCTGAGGCGGGCTGGGGAACCAAGTGCCTGTCCTGTGCCTCCTTCAGGAGACCAACAGGGTGACCAACCACTCCGGTCTGCCTGGGGCTGCCTCAGGTTAGCACTGGAAGTCCGTGTCCTGGGACACCTCTCAGAACTGGGTTGGTCACTCTAGTCTCAGGGGTCTCCTCAGAGCATTAGAAAACCATTGATTGAGCGCCCTGCACCAACGGCACCTCACCCCCTGCTATGGGCTGGTCTGTATCCTCCCTAGTTCATATAGATGGTGAAGTCCTAACCTCCAGTACCTTGGAATGTGACTGCATTTGGAGACAAGACCTGTAAAGAGGTGATTCAGGTAAAATGAGGTTACAAGGCAGGGGGAGCTAATCCACATGACTGGTGCCCTTACAAGATGAGATCAGGGCACAGACATGCACAGAGGAAAGACTACGTGAAGACAGGGGAAGGCAGTCATCTGCAAGCCAAGGAGGAAGATCTCAGAAGAAATCAATTCCACTGACACCTTGACCTTGGACTTCTGGCCTCCAGAACTGTGAGAAAACACACTTCTGCTGTTTAAGCCCCCTAGCCTGTGGAAGTCCTAGCAAGCCAACAGACTCTCAACTTACAGATGAAGAAACTGAATCCAAGACTGGTGACCCACCTGTTTAGAGGCAGGACAGGCATGAGAATCCAGGCCTCCCTAGGCCCAGGACCTTTGCTCCACAGAATAGAATGAAGGGAGTCAGCTAGTTAACAATGGTTATTTCTGACCAGCTACACCAACTATTGACAAGGTATGCGGGGGAAATACCCTCAAACACATGGAGGCTACATGCCTCACGGATCTAATGGACAGCAATCCCTGCAAAACAGGAACAACTCACCAGAGGGATTCATCTATAGTTGGCACCAATAGTGAGTGAGCAGTAGGCAGACCAGTCAGGTTCCTCCGCCATGCCCATCACGTCGACCTGGGCATTCAGAGACAAGGTTAAATAAAGGTGTAACAGAACAGGTGCACATTAATCGGATTGCCAGTCTTCTCTCTTTAAAATCAATACGTGACTCTATAAACTCTCTGATGATTGATTAAACAGTCAGCCCTATGAAGGTGGTGATAATCTGCTCGGGGGAGGCAGCTGGAGCAGCCCTTCTGCCAGCTGAAAAGCCGCTCTTGGCCAGAACATTAACCCTGAGGGTAGACTGCACTTCTGCCTATGTCCGTGTGTGTTTGGGGCATGACAGGGCTGGGGCCCCATGGAACCAGCCAGAGTTGACCAAAGTAGGGCCAGGAGCAGTTTGGAGTGAAAGGGAAGCACCTGGGACCTCAGGACTCTAGAACCCTCAGAAATCCCCTCGGAGACAGATGGGGCCTCTGTCCTTTATTTGGACCTGAAATGATAGGGTAACCTGGGAAGGCTAGAAAACTCAGGTTTCACAGGCTACTCTCACTGAAAAACAAAGAGGATGAATCTATCTGGGAAGAGATGAGTGATGGCACTTGTCAGCATAGGGGAAGCTCGTGCAGTTTACAACCCAATGCTGAAGGCCCACGGGCCTGGACATGTTTGTGTGTGCAGCTGCTCTAGAGTGAAGACTTGATGAATACTCTGACTCTGCATATAATAGTATTAAGTACAAGTCAGTGCCACAAACGGATATCTGATCTACCCTCTCAGAGCAAGATTCTGCTGTCCCCCATCTTCCTGCTGCATCCAAACCTTTCCACTACTTGGAACAGCTATTAGCAAGGCAAAGAGGACATCACCTAGGAAAGATACCTCACCTCCATTCAGCAGGTAAGAGTAAAGGTATTAAAGAAATATTTTCCTATCTTTGCCTACATATCATTATTAATCAAATATCTAGGAAATACTCAAACTTTTCATTACTTAGGCCACTAAATAGATAGACAAGCAGATAGATATTTAATAAGAGACTTTATCCTTGTGGTAACAGAGACCCTTGGAAGTTAAGAACAATAGTCTTTTTCCTTGTTTTGTTTTGCTTTGTTTCATCTTTAAAAGGCAAACTCCTAGAGTCAGAGGCCGCATCTCTTTATGGCAGCTGAGAAAGCAGGCTGTCAATAACATTCTTTCTGCTGATAAGTACAAATGGACTGAAAATGACCCCTGTTTGCAACTAATAGCAAGGGCAGGTCCTGCTCCACCAGAGAACAGCTCAGCTCCAGGTTACACTTGCCAGGTTACACTTCACACTGCAGTGAGGAGTTTCATGTATGGCTGTAAACTAAAAGCACATCTGCTGCTCTATCTTATCAGGATTGAATGCCTGTAGACATCCTTAGGAATTTTGGTTTCAGTTATCAGCAGAGGACACACTTTTAAAAATAAGCTGAAATAGTCCATGGCTAGGTTTTGTCAAACATTACATCATAGAGATTTTGATTCCACACATTTCTAGCATCACAAAAAGGAAGTTAGGCATTATGAATCCTGATGGAAAAACACACCACTACCTAAGAAAAAGTGACGCCAAAAAACTTAAACCTGAATCTGACCAAGCTTCTAGATTACCAATTTATAGGAATGACACAGGTCAGAGCAACATGCTAGACAACACCGTGGGTGCACAATACACAAAATCCAGACCAAGGAAGAAACCCTCAAAGACAAATGACCCAACTTCTTCAAAAAAATTTTTTTTAATAAAAATAAATAAGTTGAAAGGGTAACCTGGATTAAAAGAGGCTTCAGATACACACCAAATGTGAAATGAAGTCTGGATTCACAGAAAAGCTAAAAAAAATAAGTTATGAGATAATTAGAACACTGACTATTTGATGATATTAAAGAAGTTATGTTTTAGTTGCAATAATTGTATTTGTGATTGTATTTTTAGTCCTCATCTTTTAACAATAATACATCCTGAAATATTTACAGGTACAACAGGACACTGTCTGGAAAAATATGAGTGGAAAAAGTAAGGGGCATAACATGACACAAGACTGACCATAGAGGATTCTTATTGAAGTTAAGTACATGGGGGTTCATATTATGTTCTGTTTACTTTTGTATGTTTTTAAATTTCCTATTACAGAAATTATTAAAAAGTTTTTAAAAACTCTGTGTAATTAATATACGTCAGTGCACATCCTGGCATTCATATACCTGGTCAATCCCACCCCTCCCCGAATTGTTTTCCCACCACCAGGTTGGGTGATATTCTAAGAAAGTCTCAAAGTCTCACATGGGCTAGTACTTTACTCATGTAAGAAATCGTAAACCACTAATATAAGGCCGAAAACAACCAAAAAAACACCCTGGCATTTGATTCACTTGTATTGTCAGAAAGTCACCTTCCCAATCCACCTCTAGGTGACTGAAGCACAATCAGTCCCCCTTGGTGGCTGATGTCCTGGCCCAAACTGCCACTAAACGCAGAACTGTAGTTAGGAGAAACTAATGAACCGCTGAATGGCACAGGAAAATCAATAGGCAGAAGAAGGCGACCTTGCCTTCTTCTGCCCCTGCAACTTCTGTTCTTTCTTCCTGAAGGAGAAAAAGAGTAAGAATATCAATACACAGACACTGAAATGAACAAAGAGACTCATCACCACAGAGACCTGTAATCTTTTTCATCTGTTACCTGAAAAAGAAACTGCCCAATGTCATGAGGCTGGATCTGCCCAAGGCTAAACACAGTGTCACATAAAGAAGAGAAAAACATCCACTAACTAGCTGGGTGGGTGGTCAGTGAAAGCCTAGAGGGAAAAAAGTGAAGAACAGTCCAAGGTGAGCCTTGGCTTTGACAATAAAGGGAACAAATTTCACATGGTGTCCTTAAAACTGATGTGTTTAGTGAAAAGGGAAAAACGAATCCACAGGAGAAAGGCACTCCTGATAAATTCCCTGCTCATTCACCTGTGTCTTTTTGGAGGCCCTAAGAGCTGATATACCAGAAGGGGCCAAGAGCAAATAGATGAGCTCTGTGCTTCTGGCACTGAAGTGAGCACTAAGCATCCCCACTGTGAAGTGTGGCCATTTCCTCCACGTCCCACTGCTCTGTCCTGGTGCTTTGCCCATCACCTCCTTGGATTAATCAAAACTAGACTTGGTGACTCCAAGGTGACTGTACATCATCTCCTCTTCTTCCAACAATAGGCCATAAATTAGACCAAACTACCATAAAGTTTATTATTTGTGCACTAAGTAGTTATTAAATGCCGATTGTATGCAAGCTCTGGACTAGGTTCTACAAGAAATGAGGAAGAATAAGAAACTTAGCTCTGCTTTTCAGGTTCTAAACTTGTTTAAAAAACCTTTGTGGGGGGATGGGTAACAACTCAGTGGTACAGCATGTGCTTAACATGCATGAGGCTCTGGGTTCAATCTCCAGTACCTCCATTAAGACAAACAAACAAACAAATTAAAAACCTTTCTGACCTCTGGGGTGAGACAGAAGGGTGAAGTCAGGTATCAAGTTTCCCTAAAACTAAGTGAATGTACATTGTTAACAGCAAAAATATTGAAATCGAGCAAACAAAACAAAAAAAAGTATGAGCATTAATCAAACAAAAGAAGGTATATAATTTCATGCCATCATCGTTGAAATAGCATCTGGGGAAAGTGAGAGATGGAAGATCCCAGGAATCACTGCTTGTTCTCAGCCCAGCTCTCTCTCTTCTCTGGGAAGTGTGGTAAATTTTGGAGACAGAGATTGGACAAAATTGTGAGAAACCTCAATAACCCTCCCTATTTAGAGAGAAGTAGACAGAGAGGGTGAATCACCAACAGGGAAATAAGTTCAGGCTCATCACTTACATATTTAGTAAGAATTTATTAAGAATCTGTTTGCCTACATTACTCAAAACTAGGCTTCGTGGGTCATTAAAAGAAGTAAAAGAAACAATCAGGCTCTATTCTAAAACAAGTTACACTTCCAAAGGTATGCAGGAAAAGATGTCTCCTGCCAAGTGGAATAATGCTAGCACAGCATTTTAAACAATATTTTGGAAAGGAGAGCAAAGTCAAATTCCATCAAGCATGATTGTCCCTAATGTCCAACACCCATACATCTGAGGGCAAAGTGAACAGCCCACACAGAAGATTCTTGGTAAAATTACTGAATATCTAGGCAGAGAGAATTTTCAGGTATAGAGGAGACACACACACACGCACATGCACACACACATGCACACGCACACGCACACACACCAAAACAAAATGAAAAGCAAGTAAAACAGAACAAAAACTCTGGCTTCTCTCCATACCAACATTCAATACCCAATAAGGGAAAACATGTCATTTATGCGTACAAAGTTCTCAGGGAGAAAAAAATGTGAACAAATATTTTTATATTTAGCCAAAGTGTTGTTCAAATATAAAGACAACAACAGACATTTTCAGACATACAAGAGCTCAGTGACTCCATGGGTCCTACTTGAAAAAAAGAAAAACAAAAAAAAGATTTGAGTCCCAAACCCAGCAAACCAAGAGATAAATGTGGAGCTCTAGTAAAAAGTCTGACAGGAATAACTGACCCATTTATATTTAGAAATGATGCTAAGCAACAGTATGAAGTACATTTACAGAAGGAAATGGTTATATATTTCAATAATAAAAAATAATAAACCAAATTCAGAGGAAGGCGAGGGGAAGTTTCTTCACTTTCTAAAGATGATAAATCAAGAAATTGAGATTTAAATATACTATTTAAGGTTATAAAGTTAACCAAGTGAAATGACAATAATAACAAAAAGGAGAAAGTATATGTGTTAATTTTCTTACTCATCTCACCAAGTCAATAATCAATAAATTTATAAGCAGAGGTTAAAACCACTATATAAAGTTATAAAAGGAATCTCTAAAAGACCAAAAAAAAAGACTATAAATCTTTGACATTATCATTTAAATGTATACCTATATAGACACATACATATACCATAGGAAGAAAAGACAATCCATACGGTAAGAGATGGAAGGGAGCACTAAAAATAGAA